GAATGCAAAGATAAAGTGTAAGTATACATATTTACTGATTTATTTAAGTTTGGAACCATACTAAGTCTATTGACATTTAGCTCTGTTATTATGGATCATACCTGAAATGTTCGGGGTACCATATGAGGTATTGATATCAAACCAAGGTAGGCCACATTACAAGTGCCTAAACCTGTCTACTATCTTCCAGACTCAGAATAATGATTTCCAACCTTTTAATCATTGGACTGAGTTCATTTAATATCTTTTAATCATTGGATTTAGTTCATTTAATATCATTTAATATCTAAATAAGAATTAACATTTGGGACTGGAGAGATACTATAGTGGGTATGCCTGATTTTCTTCCAGCCTAGGTTCAACCCCTGGAGCCCTGTGTAACTCTCTGAGCCCCTCTAGGAGTGACCCTTGAGCACAGAATCAGGAGTAGGGCCTAAGCATAAAAACAACAATAAAGAATTACAACTTGTATTTGTATGTCATTTTTGTTTTGTTGTTGTTATTAATTCTTTTTAGTTTTATTTTGTAATTAGATTGTGTTAGCTTGTAAAAAAATTGGGAGAAGAATCTTTACGCCTTGATAACTTGCAAAGCACTGAATATTGCATTAAATAATTTTCATAAGATTTTTTCTCTTCTTTCCTATCTTCTATCTCTCTCTTTTCCTCCCTTTCTTTTAGCTTTATGATCACATCATTCTTCTTCTTGATGTATAAAGTTTGACAATTCCTCTACTGAGAACCTCACCTAAAAAGCATGCCAGACACAGTAACAACAAAGTCTCCAATGGAGACGTTACTGGGCCCGCTCGAGCAAATCGACGATCAACGGGAGGGCCTTTACCTTTACCTTTACCTTTACTAAAAACTCAGGTGCCACAAAAGCTGGAAGCATGCAAATTTAAGTATTAATGCACTAAAAAGACTCTCTTTTATAGTAGGAATGAGCTTTATATCGTAGATGTTACTCAAGATCTGCATTGACAGGCTTTGGGATTTGAACCTTTTTTTGGTCATTTTAGGAAAATTGATTTTGCCATGACAGGACCTCTCAAATAAAAAGCTACTTGAATAATATGACATAAATTATAATCTAATCTTAACTTTAAAGAACTATGTCTCTGACTATCCCAATTCCTAGTGCCTATGTACAATTGCAGCATAGCACAAAACATACCAAATTTAAATAATTTGTATAGCTTTGACCTGCTCCGTTTCCGACCTGGGCCGGTTCACCCCTTCTTAAACAACCTGGTGGTCATTCGCTCCCGGAGGGTCACCATATTGATGCTGAACTTAGTGCGGACACCCTATTGGCATAGCGCGCTACAGCCCAGATCTCCTGGACTCAAATGATCCTCCAGCCTCAGCCTCCCGAGTAGCTAGGACTACAGGAGCGGTGGAGTGATAGCACAGCAGGTAGGGTGTTTGCCTTGCACGCAGCCAACATGGCCGACCCAAGTTCGTTTCCTCCGCCCCCTCGGAGAGCACGGCAAGCTACTGAGAGTATCTTGCCTGCTCAGCAAAACCTGGCAAGCTACCCGTGAAGTATTCAATATGCCAAACACAGTAACAACATGTCTCACAATGGTATATATATCGAATATATTCGATATGCCAAACACAGTAACAACAAGTCTCACAATGGAGACATTACTGGACCTACTCAAGCAAATCGAGGAACAATGGGAGGACCGTGAGTAAGTAGCTTAGTAAGTACCGTAGAGAATGAATTGCTATTTTTTACTTGAATAAAAACTTCACATTTTCAAGTTTACAGAGGCATTTTTACTTTAGCTCAGATGCAACTATTAAATTAGGGATCTTCTAAGTTTTAGTAAAGTTTAAAACTTTTTCCTAAGTACCATGTTATTATTGTCATGTGACAACTGTTCTCAGTTAAATTCAGTTGTGTTAGTGAGCAAAGGACATAGTGAAAAACTCAACCCTGTGTTCTGGTTCTGCAACCCACAGAGCTGATTAAAGTGTGTCATTTGTCAAAGTCAGCGGAAACTATGTGTTCAGATAAGCTTAAAAGGACATTAAAAGGAGACATTGGGTTCAGTACTGAGGAAGCGAAATTTTTTATTCTTAAACAGAAAAAAACACCTATAGTGTATATCCTAGAGATTTTTCTGGGGAATTTTATAGCAGCACCTTGAAAATAAGTAATTTGGCTTTACTCCAATGTCTGTAAGTGATTTAAAAATAAATCATTTTTACAATGGTCAAAATCTGCTATTACATACCTTTTAGAATTTTCAGATGATGAGAGCTATAAAAATAAATCCAAAGATCCTCTCTATAGCACACTAATAATAAAGGAAGGAGAAAGGATGAATACAAATATATACTTTATACTCCAGCTTGCTCTCTTTTTCCGCTTTTTCTTCCCAGAATGTCAGCAATGGTAATTTAATGGGTTAATTCTCAACCCTCAACAGAACCAGAGTGACTGATTTAGATTAAGCTGTACTTGGGAAATTTGGCTGGAACTTGGATATCTTAAAACAAGCCACAAAGCACAGCATCAGCTAGTGGACTCAGGAATTTAGAAGCACAGTGGATATATACCAGAGTTCATATCCTGTACATTATGAGGTAATGGGAGAAAAAAACTAAAGACAAAGAAATTTGAGGCCAAAATCTGTTATAATTTCCTCAACTGTCACTGCCACTGTCTTCCCGTTGATCATCAATTTGTTCGAGCGGGCCCAGTAATGTCTCCATTGGAGACTTTGTTGTTACTGTGTTTGGCATATCGAATACATCACGAGTGGCTTGCCAGGCTCTGCCGTGCGGGCGAGATACTCTCGGTAGCTTGCCGGGCTCTCCGAGAGGGGTGGAGGAATTGAACTCGGGTAGGCCATGTTGGCTGCGTGCAGGGCAAACGTCCTACCGCTGTGCTATCGCTCCAGCCCACAGAATCACAAATATAGATCTGAGTTAGAAAAGATTAAAACTTTGCCCTTCGTTCTAAAAAGTGGCAAAAGGCATTAAGCCTTAATGACTCTTCCAAACTCTAAGCAGATCTTTACCTGCATTTGTGTCATTATTATTATTATAGAGCAATCTAGAAAAGCATCAGTATTTATGCCTTTGCCGTGCAATGCTACTGTGCCCAGCACCAAAGTAGCCATCATCTCTGACAGTTTCACTCTTTTCCATTCGGGCCGACCTATGCATTAGTGAGCTTTCATTTCCCTTGTGCATGCGCACCGAGAGTGACAGAAAACAGACTGGTTCCTAAGGAAAGGCAGAGTTAACATCGCGTAGAACAAGATTGTGCGTGTTTTCAAGATTTTGCAGTATCTCGTTTTTTAAAGGGACTCAAGTCATTATATTTAGTTGAAGCACAACTAATGACAGCATAGTTCAGCACATTAATTTAGTCAGCATAATCACTTTCCTAGGTGCAAATAATTAAACTACTAAGTTCAGGTATTAAAAGTTCTTAGATATTTTTCAATAATTATTGTACACAGTTTCTTGGTACTTAATTTACAAAACACAAATTTTTGGAAATGTTACAATCTTGTAGATCAGTGCAAATGAGGATGATGGTGATGATGGTTAATGACAATAAAAATGAAATGAAATGATTTGTGATAATGACTTGGCATCTTTTTAAAATAAATAAGTAGGGGTCAAGAATGTAACTCAATGGTAGAATGTTTGCATATGCAAAGCTCCAGATTGGATCCTTAGCACCACTAATAATAATAATAATAATAATAACAATAATAACAACAACAACAACAATGAGAAAACAGGTGCTGTGTTTGGAGAGTTATAAGTTTCTCTCTGTTTATAGTCAGCGGGTATTTTTTTCTTTATTATTAGTACTTAATGAGCAATTGCAATTTCTCAATGTCTTAGATTATTATATACTTACTCATTTGATGTTATTGGAACATTTTATAGTAAATGAAACCTGCTTTATATATGATTAATTTGTATTTATTAGTATTGATAAGCAAAACATTCAAGCAACTGAGCATACATCACTTTGTATATGAATTTTTCAACAAGTAGTAAACGCCAGGGAAGAGAGAAAACACTAAGACATAGAATGATTCCAAGTAGAAGTGGTTAAATGTTTTTCCCCTTAGCACTGAGATGAGTTAGCTTCAGAAGCAACCCTAGCACAATATGGAAAAACCATGTTGTAAATCACAAATTAAACAATTAAGCTATTTAAGAGAATATTTAATTTCCTGAAGTGTTCAATTTGTAGTGTCAAAAATTCCTTCTAAAATATTACAGAAATATATTTTATTAATAATACAACAAAATAAAACAGGAAAAGAAGATTTTCACTTTTTGTTGAAATAAAGAGAAATAAAGGCATTATGTGCTCCAGAGACTGAAATTGATCTTCTAAAGTATATAAATCTGTATGTGATCTGAGCAATTATTTGGCTTTATGCAGTTTGTGTCTACATAATGTGTATTATTACACACCAAAAAATTATAAAATTAGTACAGGATTTTGACTTATATTAAGATGAGCACAAATCAAAGGGAAATTTCTCAAATTTCAAGGAATACTCTAATTTTCCAATTTGATATATTAAAAATGTTTGATTTTAATAGCAGATTAATGTGATTACACATGAATCATAGGAGCATAAAAATTATAATTGTTCTAATAAAAAGTCTACACTTTACACAACTTAATGTAAATTTAATATCTTAAAATGTCCAATTATAATTCAGTCTAAATTATGTCGAGATTTTTCTATGAAATAGCTAAAATAGAACCTATAAGAAAGAAGCATTATGACATTACCTCACATAAAACAGTAGCATTATGATATTTTAATAGTAATCCCACTTACTCATTTTGTCTAAGAAATATATACAGGATGCATGGAATTAGTACCTTTGCTTCTCCCTTCTCTTAACTAAAATCATCTTAAGCAATGCCTACTAAATTTACAAGCACAATTATTTAATCAGTAACCTTATGTGATTCATGAGGCACTAGAATATACTCACCCTGTTAGAACATGAATTATATGGTTTCTCATTTTCCACACTGTTGAAAAGTGATTCAGGAAGTTCTGTTCTGCATATAATTTCCATGGCTTTCACAATGAATTGTATATTTGAAAAGATGTTTGTATACTTGTTATACGAATTTCCCGAGCAACTAAGAGCTATTGTATGAAAGTTAATTTGTGAGAAATATTTTATTAATATCTTGCATTGTGTTTCATTTTTCTTTTAATTATTTAAATATAATCGAATTCAGTACAGTTAGATGCTGAAACTGTTTGTTCCCCCTCTATTATTTCTTGTGCTATATCTGACCTCTAGTGGTTAGATAGAGAACTACAAGGTAAATAATTCATTCACAGCGTTTACATAATTCAGAAGAGCAATTGCATAATAGTTGAAAGTCCAATTAAATATACTTAGTGCATAAGGATGCTTAGAAACAGCTGAAAATAAACCTAGTTCTGAGAGATATTTACATTGCAATTCTAAAAACTCAATGCCATTGCTTTTAAACTATTTCCATTTCAAAAAGATATCATTACTATGTTTTAAAAAATATTTATATATTTTGTAGGCAAAAATTATATCGTTCAACCTCAGACTGTGATATTTCATAAAATCTTATTTTTGCTGTTTTTGTTATAAACTTATAAATCTTTGTGTTTTGATACATTGACACAGTGGAAAAATTTCTGACAATCACTAATAATTAGCAACTACTGGGCTGGGGCGATACCACAGCAGGTAGGGTATTTGCCTTGAACACTGCCAACACAAGTTCGATTCCTCTGCCCCTTTCGGAGAGCCCGGCAAGCTACTGAGAGTATTTCACCAGCACAGCAAAGCCTGGCAAGCTACCCGTGGAGTATTCGATATGCCAAAAAAACAGTAACAAGTCCCACAATGGAGACGCTACTGGTGCCTGCTCGAGCAAATCAATAAACAATGGGAGGACAGCTAGAGTACTACTGGATAGATGACTATATGAATAGGATCAGCTGCTAACGGTCTCGGGAATTAAATAGTCTGTTTCTGGATACAAAGAAGTAGCGTCACTGAACAATATTTAATAAGAGAGCAAAATTTGGAGACTTTATCTTTATATGAAGTTAATTTTCTTAAAACAAATTCATCGTAGCAAGGCAATGTTAGAACTCAGGTTTTATAAAAATAGTTTAATGCATTTCAATCTTCATCTGAACATTTTATGAGTCACTATGCTTAACACTGCAAGAAATTAAAAAGAATTTTTTAATGTATTGAAGAAATCAAGGACCAGATTGATATTTCAGTGGTTAAGTTGTTAGCTTTATTGCCGTGCAGGCAGTGGAACATGGTTCCATCCCAGGCAAAATGCGGCCTCCTGAGTACCACTGGGAGCAAACACCAAGCATAATGCCAGAAAAAGCCCCAGCTCTGCTGGGATGTGCCAAAGTTTCCCCTTCCCTTGCCCTCACACCACCATCAAATTAATCAAAACAAGTTACTTGGGGGCCAGTAAAACAGTAGAGCAGGCAGGGCACTTGGTTCCAGACAAGTGACCCAGCACACAGACTCCCCTGAATACTGTCATGACTGGTCCCCGACAGAGACAGAGGGACCTGAGCTGTGGCCCCATTCAGAAATCTCAGAGTTGTGACACCCTCTTCTGCCTGTCTCCAGTTCTCCTTTTGTTGCATCCCCTCTCAGAGCTGGTGGTTGTCATTCATATTTATCATTATCCAAAGTACTTCCATTTCCTTATGGTCCCTCCTCCATTAATTTTTCATCAATAGTATTCCCTTTATCATATATTCAGTCTATCTCTTAACTATATCCTTTTTTTAATCTTGTTTATTAATCCAAACTATTGACGTATCTTTTCTTTATAGAAAAGCTTTTCCAAAGGTTTCAAAAACATCAGCTTATGCATTAACTTTTAATTTTCTTATCGACAATTAAATTGTTTTCGTATTTTCATTGAAGATGTCCCAAAATCAAGTCATTTCCTGATTGCAGAAGTAACTATGCTTTTACTATTTAATTCTTCCATAGCTCTTGATAAAATTGCTGTTGTCTAACATCCATCTGTAAATTTCCATGGTTCTGCCTTCCCTCTATTTTCTTTCATTCTCCTTTACCAAAATCTGTCACTACAGCAATACTCTCATAATGTCTCTATCCTTCAGCATCATTCCTAGGATTAATTTCTCTAACGATTTTATCAACCACATTGACATAATTACCTTCATGTTAAATCCATGAAAGAAGTCAATCCTAGATTCCATTTCTTTTCCTAATGGCAAATCTATGCTCCCAACTGCTTACCTGTGAACTTTAAATTAAGTAGACCCAATTTTTTTCCAAAAAAATTCATTTAGAGGACCATAATGTGAATCTCACTAGTCAACATGTAAAACTTAAGATTTTCCTCTTGAATTCTTCCATTTTCTTTGTATAACTTAGATTCAATTGATCACCATATGTTGCTTATCACTGTCACTGTCACTGTCCTCCCATTCATCGATTTGCTCGAGTGGGCCCAGTAACATTGTGAGACTTGTTACTGTTTGGCATGTCAAATACGTCACGGGGAGCTTCCCAGGCTTTGCCGTGCGGGCAAGATACTCTCGGTAGCTTGCCGGGCTCTCTGAGAGGGGCGGAGGAATCGAACTTGGGTCAGTCATGTTGGCTGCATGCAAGGCAAATGCCCTACCCACTGTGCTATCGCTCCAGCCCATGTTGTTTATATCCTGAACATTTTAAAATCAATTTTAATCTACCCCATTCCCAATTTTAAAAGAGTTTACATCCTTAAAATCTCTTACAAAGTGCCAGAGAGATAGCACAGAAATTAAGGTACTTGCCTTACAGGAGACTAACCCTGATTCAATTCCCAGCACAGTGCAGGCCCCTGAAAACTTTCAACAAAAACTCCTAATTTAGACACAAAGTCTATTGCTTATTGGACTACTGAATCCACTTTTCTTATACCATTTCAGTATCTACATTGCCAATAATGTTACCTTATAAAAGAATGAATTTAAATTTTGAGAAAATTAAGTAAACATAATTGTACACACGTAGTATAATAGGGAAATTTAAAGGAAGACCCACAGGATCAGAGAGGTAGTGCAGGAGGGAGAGAGATTGCCTTGCATATGGCCGACCCTGACTCCCTGAGCGCTGCCAGGAGTGATCCCTGAGCACAGGCCTACCTGTCATCCCTGATTACGGCCAGGGGTGACACAACACCCCCCCATACACACACACAAAAGGCATAACTATTCAGTTACTGCCAAAACCTGTGCTTTTAAATTTTGCACCTAATATCTTTTCTAAAAATTAAAATAGTCTTTATTCTCTATTGAAATAGCCTAAATTCATCAAAAATTATAATCATAGAAATTGAATGATTATACCTTGCAAGTATGGCTGAAGTCTGAGTAAATGTTGTTTAAAACTGTCTAGATGACCATGTAGAAAAAATATGAAAAGCCGTAAGCAGACCAAATAGCCAATCTGTCAAGAGAGAAAGAAAAAGGCATTTTGTATTACATCAATAAATGCTGAAGTAAACATAAAATAAATAATCTTATTATACTTGGTTTTGATGAAACAATTCCAAGCCTGAGATTGTGTACTTTTGTAATAGCTTTGAAACATTTCTATCAAGTTGAAATCTGCTTCAGACAAAATATTATCAACCATCATTCATTAAAGATAATAACCAATACTGAATGTTATTTTGTTGTTTCCTTTATAACAGTATATTTCAAATTGCAAGTGTGCTCCTTCAGATGAATCAAGTGAAAGTTGAAAGGACTTTATATGATTAGTGGTGTTCAGGTGTCTGGGTTCACCCTAACAGTGCTTGGGGTAATGTTATAATAAAACAAAAGAGAAGTAAATATGCCCTTGTGCATGGCACACTTCCTTGCTTTAGTATATAAATAGCTGTGTATTATGTGTGTCCCAAGTTTCAATACAAGAGATGAGGTCTCAGTCAGTGGTTTTAAAAACACTTCTGTGTCAGAGAAGATAGTACAGTGGGTAGGGTGCTTGCCTTGTAGGGGCCAACCCAGGTGGTTCCCTGAGCATGGCCAGGAGTAATTCCTGAGTGCAGAGTCAGAGGTAGGCTCTTAGAGTCACCAATGTGGCCAAAAACCACAAACAAAAATAAAATTATAAAAGAAACACTGCTTTAAAACGCTTCAAAACATTCTCCTAGAGTATAGTATGCTGTACTAAGATTCCTATTTCCTCCTGAAAAATAACAAAAACACAAATAACCTTCACTGAATAAAAACTGAATTCTCTTCTGTGAGAGTTAAAATAATTAAAATTGCTTCTATATAGAACACAGAAAGCAGAAGATGATCAAAAAATTCATATTTAAGACTTCACAGAAAACTAGATAAAGCAAACAAATAAAACATGTATCTAAATTGATCAATCATAAGACTTCAAGAACTAAGTGATAGGAATACTAAGCACTATACCATTACTGGCTTAGATAGAAGAGGGAGAAAGGAAGAAGGAAGGAAGGAAGGAAGGAAGGAAGGAAGGAAGGAAGGAAGGAAGGAAGGAAGGAAGGAAGGAAGAAAGGATTTAGGGGGAGGGAGGGAGGGAGGGAGGGAGGGAGGGAGGGAGGGAGGGAGGGAGGAAGGGAGGAAGAGAGGGAGGGAGGAAGGGTGAGGGAGAGAGGGAGAAGGAAGCAAGGAAGGAAAGAAGGAAAGTAGGGAAGGAGGGAGGGAGGGAGGGTAGGTGGAAGGAAGGAAGGAAAGAAGGGAGAGGGGAGGAAGGAAGGAAGGAAGGAAGGAAGGAAGGAAGGAAGGAAGGAAGGAAGGAAAGGTTTAGGGTGTGAGGGAGGGAGGGAGGGAGGGAGTAAGGAAGGAAAGGAAGGAAGGAAGGAAGGAAGGAAGGAAGGAAGGAAGGAAGGAAGGAAGGAAGGAAGGGAGGAAGGGAGAGAGGGAGGAAGGAAGGAAGGGAGGAAGGGAGAGAGGGAGTAAGGAAGGAAGGAAGGAAGGAAGAGAGGGAGGAAGGAAGGAAGGAAGGAAGGAAGGAAGGAAGGAAGGAAGGAGGAAGGAAGGAGAGGGAGGGAGGGAAGGAGGGAGGGAGGGAGGGAGGCAGAGAGGGGAAGGATCCAAATCCTCAAATCAACATACAGTGTTATCAGACATACATGTCGACCAATAATAAAAATAAAACAGTGATCTACCAAGTCTGTTATTTATTTAGCACCAGTAAATTGAATCACTGGCTTTGAACCCAGGACTGTGTGTATTGAACCCAAGGTCATTAATTTTTTTCTATTTTCAATTTTTTTCATTTACTGACCTACCAGTAAAATATGTTCTGAAAATCACTATCTATAACTATATATGAATACATAGATTAATAAGACATTAAACATTATAAATTATGCTGAATGCATCATTTGTATACTTTAAAATAAATTAAATATATATAATGCATTCCCAATGAATGTCTTCATATAGAGCACTTTAATATAACAATGTGCTTGACAAAGACTTTGAAATGAGGTGATAATAAAGTGGAGTTCAACAGAACTCCATTTTAAAGAATAGTGCAATCTCATCTGTGGAATATAAAGTAACAGAATGGGAGACTAACACTCAAGAATAGTTGAGTTAAGTACCAGGAGGTTTGCTCCATGGCTTGGAAGCTGGCAGCACGTGCTGGGGGAAAAGGCAGCTTATATAGAGAAGGGAACATCAAGTAGAGGGAAGAGCACGCTCGGAATGGGAGATGCCTGCTGAAAGGAGAAGATAGACCGAACACAATGACCACTCAATACCTCTATTGCAAACCACAACACCCTAAAGGAAAAAGAGAGCAAAAGGGAATGCCCTGCCACAGAGGCGGGGAGATGGGGGGGATGGGGTAGGGGGATGGGAGGGTTATTGGGATCATTGGTGGTGGAGAATGGGGACTGGTGGAGGGATGGGTACTCAATCATTGTATAACTGAAACCCAAGCATGAAAGTTTGTAAGTCTACAACTGTACCCCATAGTGTTTCACGAATAAAAATTAAATTTAAAAAATTTAAAAAACAAACAAACAAAAAAAAGAATAGTGCAATATTTTAAGTGTTATTACTAAAACCAACAATACTGTTAAAAACAGTGAATAAAAAAAACTAGTCTAAAGGCATATCATTGAGGATTTATTAAGGAATAAATGTTGAAAAGAACTGTCCTGTAGCACTGTCCTCCCATTGTTCATCGATTTGCTCTAGCGAGCCCAGTAACATCTCCATCTTGAGACTTGTTGTTACTGTGTTTGGCACATTGAATACGTCACGGGTAGCTTTCCAGGCTTTTCAGTGCGGGCAAGATACTCTCAGTAGCTTGCCAGGCTCTTATAGTCTACTTTCAGAACCTGGCTCGGCTGGGCTGGCTGCACACAAGGCAAACGCCCTACAGCTGTGCTATGTTAGAAAGAACAATAATTTTTAAAATGTTATGTGAAACAAAATAGAAAAATATGTGGAAAGTATATCAGTCTGAATAATCACTGTATTATACAATGATAGGGACATAAATTTCTACCAGAATTACTGACTATTCTTGGTTTAAATTATACTTGGGAAGTGTTTATTAAAATTTTTATCTGTAATATTTTGAAAGATCGGGTTTTTTATTAGAAAATCTATATTTTTCACTACCAAGGAATTCTGGGGCTTTTGTGCATATTTCTTCTTGTCTCATTTATGCAGTTTCTGTCTGTGACTAGATCTTGCGCCCTAGACTAAATCTGCTTTCTCGGTTTTCCTACCCTTTTTTGTATCTTCCCTTCCTTTATTTTTTACCAGTCCCTTTCTCCTACTCTTATCTTTCTTCTTTTCTCTGGCTTATCACATCCAATTCTCGTCCGGGATCTGGATTTTATGGTCTCTGAGTCTTGGCCGCTGATGGGATTACACGGCGCCAGGGGGCCAGGTGGTGGGTGTGACCCCATAAAATCCAGATCCCGGACGAGAATTGTGCAGTCTCTGCCCCCGCGCCTGGGTGTTCCTTCCCGGAGTCCCTTGGAGGGGAGCGGGTTGAGCTTTCCTCCCCGCCCCGACCAGGGCTACGGCAGCCGAAGACCTCCAGGACCAGCCACCACCATGCTGAGACCACTCTCCGCACACATGAAGGTACCGGCAGAGGGACAAAGCCACGCGGGTTCCGGGGCCGAGACCTCCAAGCCCACTCGAATTGGAGTCGAGCATCTTCCACCCAGATCCTCCAAATTCCAGTAGGCGGGGGTCACACCCACCACCTGGCCCCCTGGCGCCGTGTAATCCCATCAGCGGCCAAGACTCAGAGACTATAAAATCCAGATCCCGGACGAGAATTGTGCAGTCTCTGCCCCCGCGCCTGGGTGTTCCTTCCCGGAGTCCCTTGGAGGGGAGCGGGTTGAGCTTTCCTCCCCGCCCCGACCAGGGCTACGGCAGCCGAAGACCTCCAGGACCAGCCACCACCATGCTGAGACCACTCTCCGCACACATGAAGGTACTGGCAGAGGGACAAAGCCACGCGGGTTCCGGGGCCGAGACCTCCAAGCCTACTCGAATTGGAGTCGAGCATCTTCCACCCAGATCCTCCAAATTCCAGTAGGCGGGGGTCACACCCACCACCTGGCCCCCTGGCGCCGTGTAATCCCATCAGCGGCCAAGACTCAGAGACTATAAAATCCAGATCCCGGAACCGCGCAGCCGCGAATGCGGCCGCACAACATCTTATCAGAACTTTTCTTTATGACATCTTATTATCTCATTCCTACTTTGGACAAACTTGCAGGCTATCGAATGTAGCCTGCCCACAGGGCAGAGTCTGGCAAACTCCCCGTGGCCTACCAAATATGCCAAATACCAGTAACAATGATGGGTCTCTTTCTCCTAAAGAGCCGTGAATATAATCTCAGGGCTAGGATGAAAGAGACGTTACTGGGGCCTGCTCGAGGCAATCGACGATCGACGATATCACATCCAAACTAGACATGGAAATAATGTTAATGTTCATGTTTGATTTGATTTGATTTTCTCCAAGGGAAAGCCTAGGAAACAAAGTCTCACTATCTTAAGTCACGTGATCACCTTGAGCACACTTGGAGAAGCTGCTCATCACTGTTGTTGAGCTCAAAATAAGAAGACCACCTCTGTGGTAACAGATTGTTGCTTATATAATTATATCATGGAATATTGTTTATATTTCTATATAAATGCATTGAATTATTATCTCCATGTTGCTCCCTATACTTCTTAGGTTAGTAGACATTAAAGGTTAAGATTTTACATTTAGAATTAGGCAAAAGAGAAAAACACATAAATTCTAAATATCAAGGAATCAACTACCTGTTTCTTCCCAACTCTGACCCATGTATCACTTAATGGAAGGAAGAACAAACTGGTGCGACAGAGGTAGGTTTTGCCTCTGTGACAATAACATTCAGATTAGCACCCCATTAAAGAGAGGGGTCCAATGGGAGGCTTATATATATAATAAAAACCTACAAATGCAAGTTGGACAACTGAAATAATTCCTTGCCTTATATGAAATGTACTTATAAAGATACTGGCCAGTATATTATCTGGAACAAGGAAGAGCAAGCTTTAAAACTTGTAAATCTGAGATCCAAGGTACATGTAGCATCATAACTGAGAAGTCCTGCCTTTCCATCAAACTAATGTATGCTTACTTTATTGTTAGCAAAAATTTTAAAAGATAAAAAATAGGAAAAGATCACTAAATGAAAACAGAAAAATGAATTAAAACAGACTTGTTCTGTTTTCATTCCATTCTTTTATCCAGTATAAAGATACTTGTTTTCATCTATTAATATCATCTTTATAGTATATATCTACATTTTAAATCCATATATCTTTTAAGATTTATATAATAATGATGCAAAAATTTTTCTTCTATATCTCCATAATAGCACTGTAGCACTGTCCTCTAGTTGTTCATCAATTTCCTTGAGCAGGCGCAGTAAAGTCTCCATCGTGAGACTTGTTATCGCTTTGTTTGGCATATATTGAATACATCATGAGTAGCTTGCCAGGCTTTGCAGTGCGAGCGAGAAATTCTCAGTAGCTTGCCAGGCTCTCCAAGAGGGGCGAAGGAATTGAAGCTGGCTCTGCCAGGCTGGCTGTGCACAAGGCAAACACCCGATTGCTGTGCTATCTCTCCAGCCCCATAATAGGAAGTCTCAGATATACAGAATAAAAAAGAAAAAAATCACCATCTTACCATGAAAACAAAGAAATTCACTGCTAATACCATGTGTTTTTCCTTCTAGTTATCAGCAAAGCCTTTTAGTGCTACGCAGTTTCTCATACATGCCCTCTGAATATTGCTGGACTCCATAACTTTTACTCTCAATATGTCTGAAAGTCTCTAGTATTGATTTCTAGGAACTAAAAATACAGTATAAAAACTAGAAAGAGTAACACAACTCTTTTCTAGAAAGAAAGGAATAGTTACAGAATGTTCTCTCTCATATGTTGAACTTAAAGTTTTATATACAAGGTAGTGACAAAAGGCCAAAGGCATCAGCATAGCAAAAGAGTTGTTCCACAGAACTGAGATTTTGGGGGCAGATGGGGGATGAATGGGTGAGGCCCTAGGGATCTTGGAGGAGATAAACAGGCACACTGATGACAGATGTGGTATTGGAATTATGTACAAATGGATTCATAAATAACATTATGAGTGACAGTACTTTTATTAAAAAAATGTAAAAAACTTAAAACATAGGATAAGACTTGAGCCAATCCTGTTGAATTGAAGACATTCATGGACCTTGCTCTCACTGTTAAATAAATATTTGCTCGTATTTGCTCAAACTGAAAATAAATAAATAAATAAATAAAAATAAAAATACAGTATATTCCCAAAATGTCTTTAAGTATGAGTCAGGAATAATTGTATTTATATTAAAAAATAAATAAGAAACATTTTTGGGCAAATAATGCCACACTCAATTTTGTTGTTATATAATATTTTTGAAGAACTTCTCCATCTAGTCTTTTTAAAAATTTTTCAAGAATAAGTCCTTGAGTCAGAAGAGAGAGTAGAACAGATAGGGTGCTTGCCATACATGTGACTAACCTGGGTTCGATCCCTGGCATCCTATATGGTCCCTCAATCCTTCCAGCAGTGATTCCTGAGTGCAAAGTCTGGAGTCTACCTTAAGAACAACCAAGTGTGGCCCCCAGACAGCAACAATAACCAAACAAAGGATCAGTTGTTAAACTAAGCTTATTTGACTAGTAATATATTTTGCAGATATACCCGTTTAGTCATAGCAGAGAGTAAAATTGTATGAGATCTAGAACTTAATAAGACACATAAAGATCGCTTTCCACCAATTGATTAAAAAAAATCACCTAGCATACCTAACAAATGAATAATTTCCTCAAATAAGGCTATCATTTAGACTTTCTGTCAGCATTTTCAATTGGTGAATTGTCACTTTAAAAATGTTAAGAATCCTCAAGGGGTTGGAGCAATAGAACAGTGGGGAGGGTGTTCACCATGCACAGGGTTGAGCCCCTTTAAACCTGGCACCTCATATGGTACCCATGGCTTTATGGGAGTGATTCCTGAGCTCGGAGCCAAGAGTAATCCTGAGCACCACCAGGTGTGACCCCAAACAAACAAAATAAAGAATCCTTAAAAGATAAGCCAGGGAAATAGCACATGCTTTTCCTGTTGGAGCTCTAGCAGAATCCCTGGCACTGCCTGGTCACAAGAGTGTCTTAAGGTGAGGCCAAACACAATTTCTTAACAAATTCTTAACAGGAAGACAAGCTGTGCATCTCTCACAAGTATAGACTTAATTTTCATGAGATATTAACTTCCTATGTAGTCAATCATTCACATGTAGAGAAGACTAACATAAACTGAAAAAAAGAGAATAAAACAAAATCATCTACTGTATTCTAAAATAGATGTCATATATTACATAGTTGTATGTATGTAAATACCTTTAAAATATTTTAAAACATACCTTTGTCAGCTTTATTTCAACTGAATATAAGTACGACTTTAGAAAAGCATCACAACAGAGTCGATACAAAATTGATTCCGCAACAAAAAATAAGGCAGGCAGATGGTCCCGGTCAAAAGCAGCATGGTCCAAGGATATATAAAGCATATTCAAGGCTTCTGGAAAGGAAGTATTCCAATTTATAATCATGTTGTTAGGATAAATGGTATAATTTCTTGCAATGAATTGTTTGCATAATCACCAGGATTTTAAATATTTAGTCTTAAAATATTTAGAAGCATTTTGACAATCCTTCTGTCAAAAGGGTCATGGACCCTTCATGATTCTCTTAACCTTTTGATAATTTCAACCAATAGGTGTAACAAAAGTCATACTCCCTAATCTCCAAGACTATATTAAAATATAGATACACTTGCATATTTCTCTTAAGATAGTAGCTATGAAACTATTCGACTCTTGGGAGATGCCAATTGGATAGTTAAATGAGAAAATAAAGAACAGAGAAAAGGGAGAAGGAGAATATGGAGAGTGGAAGAGAGAGGCAGAAGGAGGAAAAGAAAAAGATGCTAACGGAGCATCAGCTGTTTCAACCAACAACAAAATAGGTCACTGGGTCATGAACAAAAAAATGTGGCTAATAGTACAGACCAGAAACTGATGATGAAAGACAATGCTAACGTGCTCTAAAAGTGAAGTGTTATAAGTAGAAAATCAATGCAAGTAAATAGGGGTCAGCAAAGATAAGCAAGGAAAACCATAGAACTAATAAGGTCCAAGAGAAAAAATAAAATCTGAGGGGCTGGAGAGATAGCACAGCAGGTAGGGCGTTTGCTTTGTAAGCGGCCGCCCCAGGTTCGATTCCCAGCATCTCATATGGTCCCCTGAGCACTGCTCATATGGTCCCCTGAGCACTGCCAGGAATAACTCCTGAGTACAGAGCCAGGAGAACCCCTGTGCATTGCCAGGTATGACGCAAAAAGCAAAAAAATAAAAAATAAATAAAACCTGAAGCTTGAGAAATTTTGGGGATGTCATATAAATATCGGAGAAAGGACTGAAAATTCAGGTTCCTGAGAAAGGAAAAACCCTGATGTGTTCAAGAAATAGGAAGGTGACTTTTATATCTGGCTTAGTGAATAAGAAGAGCAAGTGCATACATTCTTTTGAATAAATGCTTTTCTTTCCTGGCAATAGATATCCAAAAGTGAAATTGCTGGATCACCTGGAAGCTCAATTCTGAATTTACTGAGAACACTCCATAATGTTTTCCAAAAGGGTTGGACCATACAACATTCCCATCAGGAGTGAATGAGAGTTCCTTTTTTACCACATCCCCAACAAAACAGATTGCTCCCAGTATTTTTCCCGTGTGCCATTCTCACTGGTGTAAAATGATATCTTGTCATCTAGATTTGGATTTCCCTAATAATAAGTGATGATTTGTACTTTTTAATATGCCTGTTGCCATCCACTGAGATTCCTTAGAAAAGTGTCTGTTCATTTCCTCTCCCCATTATTGGATGGGGTTTTAGATTTTTTTGTTGTTAATCTTTGTGAGTATTTTATGTAACTTGGATATCAACCCTTCATCTGCATTGCAGCACTCAGTACAACTAGATAAGATTTGGAATCAACCTGATGTCCAAAAAAAGATCAGAGGATCATGAAGACATGCTATATATACACAATGGAATATTACATGGTTGTTAAGACTAATAAAAACCAAACAATTTGCAGCAACATGAATGGAACTGGAAGATATCATGCTAAATGAAGTAAGCCAGAAGAAGGATGCACACAGGATAAAATCATTTATATATGGTATTTAGAATAACTAAATGAATGAATGAATGAATGAATGAAATGTGTTAAGGGGGGTTGCCCAGATTATCCTTAACCCAAGAATATAGATGGGAGAAGGAAAGAAATAGAGAGCATGGGAGAAGAGAAGACAAATGAGAAGCAAGAGGGCAGAGGTTAAGGGGATTAAGGTACATTGGTGGAGGTAAGGATTGAAAGAGTCAAATATCCAAACCACAGAAGCAAAATACTGAAATCATGAGACCTAAACTTTAATAATCAAGCATAGAAAGGCAACTGTCAAGAGGACAGACTGGAGGGTGTAGGCGAGGGAGCCTGGGAACGTGGTAGAGGGAAGTTGACACTGGTGGTGGGATCAGTGATGAAACATTGAATGTCTAAAACCCAATTTATGAGTAGCTTTATAAATCATGGTGCTTTCATAAAATTTAAAAAACAAATATCAGCAGTCACTGTTGTAAGGATAGTGGATAATTGAATTAAGAATAATTGAGAAGGCAGATGGCACATAGATTTAAAAGTTAGTACTGGTCAGAGAGCTAGTGCAGCAGTTAAGGCATTTGCCTTGCACGTGGCGGACCTGAGGTTTGATCTCAGGCATCCCATATAGTCCCCTAAGCACTACCAGAACTGATTAGTAAGTACAGAGCCAGAAGTCTGAGTGTGATCCAAAAACAAAAACAAAAAATTAAAAATTAAAATTAACGATTATTTACTGTTGAAGAATGAGAAAAAAATCAGAGTTTTTATTCAGAATTCAGAATCTTAATGAACAAAAATGCTGCTTTAGCCCATTTATGATGAAAATTCTCAACAAAATGGGCAATGATAGAACATTCCTCAATATAGTGATAGCCATCTACCACAAACCCATGGCAAGCATAATTCTCAATAGGGAGAAACTAAAAGCTTTCCCCCTAACATCGGGAACAAGACAAGGTTGCCCACTCTCGCCACTCCTATTCAATGTACTACTGGAAGTTCTTTCCATAACAGTTAGACAAGAAAAAGATATCAAGGGCATCCAGATAGAAAAGGAAGAGTTGTCAAGCTACCACTATTTGCAGATCATCTGATACTATACTTTAGAAAATCCTAAAGACTCTACCAAAAAATACTCCTATAAACAATAGGTTTGTACAGTAAAGTGGTATGCTACAAAATCAACACCTGAAGGTTCATGGCTTTCCTATATATAAATAATAAAAGAGAAGAAAGAAATATTTTTTTTAAAAATTCTGTTCATGCCACAGTAAATCACGTACCTCAGAAAATTACAAAACAGTACTTCAAGAAATAAAAGAGGACACTAGGAAATGGAGACACACCCCTGCTCATGGATAGGAAGGATTAACATTATCAAAATGGCAATAACCCCCAAAGCACAATACAGATTTAATGCAGTCCCTCTAAGGTTACCCATGACATTCTTCAACGAAATAGACAAAACACTCCTGAAATTCATATAGAATAAATCTCCACGAATAGCTAAAGCAATCCTTGGGAAACGGGAGATAGGGGCTGTAGAACAACATTGGTTTGCCCTTCCTGGCTGCTGGGAGCTTGTGTTTGTTAATTGCCCCTCAACCTGTCAATTACCTTTGTCTCCTGATCACAGTCTCACTTGTAAATATTGTCTTTCTCTTCTCCTTACAGTCCTTTGCATGGTTAGTTATTTCAGAGCAATTGCTTTTTGTATGGATACAGGAAGACAGTTAAAAAGACAAGTCTGTGACTTCGGAGTTGATTGACTCCAGAAAATATTACCTCCTAGACATCTGCTCTCTCGACTTAAGCCTCAGTTTCCTTTACTTCCTAGATCCCCAAAAGTAGGGTCCTGACAAGGAACTGGATGGACCCAGGGCAAGCAGTGAGCTAACCTGGCATTGAAATGGTCCTGGCCAAATTCCATATTGCTTAACTATAAGTTAAGAGTATGGTCATGGACAAATTATGTCATGATCCAGAAAGTAATAACTAGATTTGGACCCTGCTGGGGTTAGGAATGATTCACCCGATCTGAGCACTAAAGTCTGAGTCTGTGGAGAGGTGTCCCCAGAAGAGTCACCCTACAAGTCTAATAGTGTCTATTACTGTGTCCATACAGAATGGTAAATATTAGGAAGGAGAATTAAAAATGTTAAGTTGCTGGTCTAAGGAGAGGAGAAACACTTTAGGGGCTGTTTCGTCCTCGTGCGCTGCAGGTGTTCGGGAAGACTGGAAAACATGTTGATCATGTTTCCCATGGGGAGGCATGGTCAGGGAGGTGTGATGAGGGGATAAAAAAAGAGCGACTGGTGGGGGAGAGAATTGATGGTTACAGAGAAACAGGCAGAGAAAGAAGGAGGAACAGATTGAGTGAGACAGGGAGTTCGAGGAATATTGAGGGAGAGACAGAGATGTAGAGAAGAAGAGACACAGAGTTAGAGAAGGTTGCTGCGGAGGTAGAGAGAGGAAGGAGAAACGGACATATGGTTACAGAGAGACAGAGACAGGAGAGGACAGAAGACTGCGAGAGACACCGAGTTAGAGAGATGACTGAAAGCTGAGAGTGAGAGTGGCTGGGGAGATTGAAGAGGAGTCACAGAGAGCATTTTAGAACGAGTTAGAGGGAGGGTTGGAGAGAGCTGGGAGAGACAGGAGATTTAATGAACGGCAACTAATCAGCAACCAGCTTGGCCCTCGTTCTTCCTTCGTCCAAGGCAACAGCGGTCCAGGGTGGAGAAGCAGCTCAAGAGCACTAAATGACCAACTAAAGGAAAAAGAAATTTTACAGGGGGCATCACTTTACTCAACTTCAAACTTTACTACAAACCAGTAGTAATTAAAACAGCATGGTATTAGAGAAACAGAACTGCAAACCAATGGAACAGAGTTGAATATTCTGTCACAGACTCTCAAATATATGATCACTTAATCTTTGATAAAGGAGCAAGAGATGTGAAGTGGAACAAGGGAAGCCTCTTCAACAAGTGGTGCTGGGAAAACTGGACAGCTACCTGCAAAAATGAACTCTGACCTTTATCTAATGCCAGGCACAAAACTCAGATCAAAGTGTATTAAAGACCTCACTATCAGACCTGAATTCATAAGGTACATGGAGGAAAATGTAGGCAGAGTCCTTTATGATATTGAAACTAAAGCCATCTTTAAGGATAAAACACCACTGACCAAGCAAGTGGAAACAAACATAAACAAATGGAACTACATTAAACTAAGAAGCTTCTGCACCTCAAAAGAAACAGTGAGGTGCATAAACATCTTAGTTTTTGGAGCTTCTTTTTGAAGCTTCAAAATACAAAAAGCACCTACACGATGGGAAAGAATATTTACCCAATACCCATCTGATAAGGATTTAATATACAAGATATACAATACATAGTAGAATTGTACAAGAAAAATACCTTCAACCACATCAAAAAAATGGGGAGAAGAAATGAACATAAGTGTCCTCAAAAAAGAAATACAGATGGCCAAAAGCCTGCTCGGATCGGGGCTGAGCATCCTCCACCCAGATCCTCCATCTTCCAGTAGGCAGGGGACACACCCACCAACTGCCCCCCCACCCCCCGGCACCAGGTAATCCCATCAATGGCCAAGACCCAGAGACTATAAAACCCAGCTCCTGGAAGAGAACAGCACAGAGTCTCCTGCTCCTGCGCCTGGCTGTCCTCATCGGGGCACCTTGGAGGGGGGCAGGTTGAGTTTCCCTCACCATCCCAAGCAAAGCCCCGGTAGATGAAGACCTCCAGAACCAGCCACAACAATGCTGAGATCAAATATAAAAACCCAGGAGCTGCGTTTTATAGCTCCCAGAAACGCAAGGCCTCATTTGCAGCCACACAACATTTTGTAATCTCATACTTACTTTGGACAACCTGGCAAGCTACCGAATATAACCTGCCCACATGGCAGAGTCCGGCAAACTCCCCGTGACGTACCCAATATGCCAAATACCAGTAAAAACGATGGGGCTCATTCTCCTAACCCTGAAAGAGCCTTGAATATGGCACTTTTTAAAATCTCAGGGCTAGGACAAAGGAAACGTTACTGGTGACTGCTCGAGGCAGTCAATGTACAACAGGATGATCGTGATCTTGATCTTAATGGCCAAAAAAGCACATGGGGAAGAAAAGATCTACATCACTAATCATCAGAAAGATGCAGATCAAGACAAAAATGAGATATCTCACACCACAGAGACTAGCTCACATCAAAAAGAACAAGAACAACCAGTGCTGGCACAGATGTGGGGAGAAAGGGACTGGTAGGAATGCTCTCTTGTCCAGCATTTTGGGGAAACAATATGGGCATTCTTTATAAAACTAGAAATTGATCTTCCATATGACCCAGCATTTGCAGCCATGTGGCATCTCATAACTTACACCACTGATATACCAAGAGTAGCACACCACATTTTATGGGCTTTAAAGTATAAGGCAACAAATCTTAGGGTAAATATATATATATATATATATATATATACATATATATATACACACACAAATGTGTGTGTGTGAACACAAGGCTCCATTCTCTCTCAATGGAACAAACATCTCCAAATGCAGCAGTTGTATGTACCTAGGTCGAGAACTCAACATGATGAATTACCTGGCACCTGAGTTGAGCAGGAGGAAGAGAGCAGCGTGGAACGCCTTCAAGAGCATTGAAGAAATAGCTAAGAGGAGACGACCACTGGACTAGAGCCATTACTGACTGGATTTCACGGAACGTCAAAAGATCGTGTCACCACCCACCTACGAGATGGTCAGACTTCTTTGTCAAGACCCTGAAGAGTTTGAGGCTCTTTATGTTCCTGGAGAGAGCAGACCCCATTGGGCTACACTCGCATATGACAAGGATGAATGGAGATGTTACTGGCGCCTACTTGAGCAAATCGATGAGTAACAGGATGTCAAGTGATCAAGTGATACACACAAGACTCAACCTTTAACAACATGTTACTAATCTCTTATAGAAGGGATTAATGGCTTCTGGGTGAAATACAACAATCTTGAAACATTTTCCTCTAAGAAAACTCTTTTGAATCATTTTTAGTGGATTATTGTTATGAATAATCCACAACAATGAATAATCCACTAAAAATGATTCAAAGGGCTGGAGCGATAGCAGGGCTGGAGCGATAGCACAGCGGGTAGGGCGTTCACCTTACAAGCGGCCAACATGGCCGACCCGAGTTCGATTCCTCCGCCCCTCTTGGAGAGCCTGGCAAGCTACCGAGAGTATTCGATATGCCAGACACAGTAACAACAAAGTCTCCAATGGAGACGTTACTGGGCCCGCTCGAGCAAATCGACGATCAACGGGAGGGCCTATTCATAACAAACAATACAAAATAAATTACTTTGTTTCCACTTTAGGGCAGGGATGGAAACATTAGAAAATAGTGGTGGAAAGGTGGGATTGGTCTTCAAATATTAAATGTAATCAATTACTGTGAACAACTTTATAAACATTAAATTTAAAAAAGAATTCCAAATGAATCTATCTCAACATGCTTGAGGCAGAGAGAGCCAGGTCATATACTCTCTCTTGATTTAATTAATGAAAAGTAACAGGGAATTACAATCATAATAAGAATAACGGATATGATCAGTTAAAATTTCCTCCTAGGAGGGAGTTGAGGGAACTAGGCAAGGGCAGTCCACTTGGACCACTACCTGTGGGATGCCTGCAGAAGAGGTTTGATGGACAAAGGCTCATCCTCTGCTCACTGCTGGTACATCAAGACCAGCGACTGTCATTCAACAGAGACCAGGCCGTGTGGCAGTGGCTGGAGAGACGCAGGCACATACATTCAGAGAGAATTAGTTTTTAACTTTTATCTTGTTTCAAACTTACCAGAGATCACTACAACCTGATACAGTTGACTAAACTGTCTGGCTGCACAAGAACATTGTAAAACCCATTTTAAAAAGACAAGCACAGCCGGGCATTCTCGGGGAAAGGGCAGCTCAGATAGAGAAGGGAGCACCAAATAAAGGGCGTTTGGAGGACCCTCCCAGGAGGGGAGATGCATGCTTAAAGTAGACTATGGACTGAACATGTTTGCCACTCAATGCCTCTTTTGCAGACCACAGCACCCAAAAGGAGAGAGAGAATAAAAGGGAATGCCCTGCCACAGAGGCCGGGTGGGATGGGGGGGATGGGGGTGGGAGGGATATTATCCATGGTGGTGGAAAATGGGCATTGGTGGAGAGATGGGTATTTGATCATTGTATAATCAAAATAGCACAGAAGGCGTTTGCCTTGCACGCAGCCAACATGGCCGACCCGAGTTCGATTCTTCAGCCCCTCTCGGAGAGCCCGGCAAGTTACCGAGAGTATCTCGCCCACACGGCAGAGCCTGGCAAGCCACCCGTGATGTATTCGACATGACAAACACAGTAACAACAAAATCTCCCATGGAGACATTACTGGGCCCGCTCGAGCGAATCGATGAACAACGGGAGGGCCTTTACCTTTACCTTTACCTTATAATCGAAATCCAAGCACAAAAAATTGTAAATCTACAACTGTACCTCATGGTGTTTCACTAATAAAAATTTTTAAAAAAGAAAAAAGAAAAAGATAGGCACGTAAAATTCTAAGATAATGATTGAGGAAAATTTACCTGTTTAAGAATAATGTTTTTAATATATTTTAGATTGGTTGGAAGATGATTTGAATGACAGATCAAGAAGAAATGATGAAACCTTAAAGAGTAAAATGACTTAAGTGAAAACAAATGGATATTTGATTAATGTTTAATGAGCAAGAATAATACCATGCAGAAATAAGTTTCTCTAAATCAAATGCCTATTGTAATTGAAAATTACTTGATCATATTTTATATTACTTTTAATTTTACTACTATGTGTAGAAAAAATAGTAAGACTATGCCATAAAAAAGTTTTAAAATGATTTTGAAATTTGAAAGTTGAGCAGCCATATAGACTAATTCAAAATTATAGGAGGAACTTTCAATCATGAAATATCAGATATTTCCATAGAGAAATGTAAATTTTCCTTGAGTTCTGCACAGTATCTAAACATTAAAATTTCAAATTATGTATTCACTAATCTTTGTCAGTATGGAAAATATAGCGATCAATCAAAGCCCAGTGAGCACGCACCTTCCTGAACTTGTCCCTTGCACTGAGCGAGGTACACCACTTCAGTCCACGCAGTGGGAAGGTGTACGTGAGGTCCGCAGCCTAAGGTCTTGAGACCAAGCTTCCTCTGTGGTGGGGATATAGGATATAGGTTTGTCACACTGAACAGTTTTTATTTATTCATTTATTTATTCATCAATAATTATTTACTTGTGTCATTTTATCGAATCACCATGAATTACAAAGCTATTCATTATTCAGTTTCAGGCGTACAATATTCTAACACTAATATCTACACCAGTGTCCACTTTCTTCCACCAATGTCCCAGTCTCCCTTATGCCGCCAGATTTTCTCTGTATCCGGCATTTTTACTACTTTTCCTTGAGGTACTGTGGTTTAATGACAGTGTATAATGCATGTCACTTTATCTTCGTTTAGCACCCTATTTATATCACTTATTAAAACACAAATGTCCTTATTAGGCTATTTATATTAGGTTATAAATAACAATTTATATCCTTTTCTGTTAAACTTTATATTTACTTATACTTTTAATTATGTAAATTTGATGCCTCTTTGATTTGAATTGTATAATAATTTATGTTTATCTTTTTATTACTATTTTTGAGAAGTGTAGAGAATTTTTTAAATACTCTTCTCAGTTATTTGCTAAAATAACTATTAAATAAGTTTTTATTGACTAGAATTCTTGCTTTACAATACTACTAATAATTTTCTAATCCAAACGACTTAAATAAAATATCCTCTCACACCTGTGAGAATGTCACATATCAAAAAGTCTGGAAAAAAAACAGTGTTGGTGCGGTTCTGGTGAGAAAAGGACTCTTATCCACTGTTGGTGGAAATGCCGTCTGTCTCAACATCTATGAAAAGCAGTATGGAAATCTATCGAAAAAAACAGAAATAACTCCCATATGACCCAGCACTACCACTCTTGCATCTATCCTCAGAACACACACACACACACACACACACACACACACACACACACACACACACAAAATCATTAATTCAAAAATATAGATGCACATACATGCTCATCACAGTATTTAGTATAATAGCCAATATAGGGAAATTAACTCACTTTTAGTTACTAGAGGCATTGTGGCTACTCCTTTTGCACCCAGGAATGAAACTATCATTTTATAAAAAAGCATATTGAAGAAATGTGACTCAGCAGAGACTGATGCTCTGCCAAAGTGTCAGAGACTCTGGTTACTTCACTGTGAAGTTACAGAGTTGAGAAAGAAACCAAGGCTGACTCCTCTTCCCTCAGCAGGTTCAGTCTGAGACTGTTTCAGAGAGGTATTAACTAATTAAGAAGAAACTCATAGACAAATGTCCTTACTAGTGCATGACTGCATATAACTTATAAAAAGATTATTCTTAAAGACAAATGGGTTTTTCAGTTTCAAAATTCTTTAGAAACTGGATACTAAAATACTGAAAACTAAACACACTCAAAGACATTTTAATTTATACTCATGTTTTGTGAAATTTTTATTTCATGAATTATTCAGTATCAGCAAAATCACATATACCAAAGTTAAACTGTATCCAATATTGCATAGGCAAATAAGGACTTATTTCACCTTGCTCTGTTTTGATATATGCTTGAAAATTTGAGATCAGACATATGCTAAAAACCTATAATTTAGAGACCAGAGAGATAATGCAATGGGTAGAGCATTTGTCTTGCACATGACCAGTCAGCTCTGGTACACCATAAGGTTACCTGGACCCATCAGGAGTGATTCCTGAATACAGAATCAGAAGTAAGCTCTGAGCACAGAGAAATGTGCACCCCCAAAAAATATACTTTATAAACGTAAGTATATTGTTACACAGAAAGCATGGGCACTTTGTCCATTACGGTAAAGTATTAAGGACGTTTTCTTTCTTTCTCTCTTTCTTTTTCTCTTTCTTTCTCTCTTTTTTCCCTCTTTCTTTCTCTCATTCTTTCTTTTTATTCAAGTACTGTGATTTGCAAAATTATAATAATTGAGTTTGAGGTACATAATATTTCAACACCAATCCCACCAGTATTAAGGAAGTTTTATTTTCTTTTTGAGATACCTCATTTTCAGTTACTCTTTCTTAGAAAAAGTTCAATTTTGTTAATAAAATATCTGTTTTCTGTGGAATCTTGGTCTAGTTTCGATAGCTATTTTTATGAGATTTTTCACCAGCAAAAAGCATTTGACTCTGAAATATTTGGTTCTGTCTTTTGTTTTGCATTACCATTTTAACTTTACCTGCTTATAACTAATATTTTTATATCATTTTTATTTCAATATTTTAGAAAATATAAACTCATCAATTTGTAAGAGAAAGTTCATAGACAGAGCAACTAAGTAGTATAATATTACCTTACATCTGATAATGTATTTTCTAACTTTGTCCAACAGTTCTTTCTCCTCTTTCGCATTTGTTGTTTCATTAAATCTCAGGATGAATTCTTTTGTGATTGAAAATGATGGACTAAATGAAGCAAAAAAATAATTATTATAGCTATTAGTTCCAATTTTTAATAAATAAAATTTTTAGTTTTAAGTATAACTGTTTTCTAGAAAAGGCATTTTTATCTTTTAATAAAAATGTTTTAAACAAAAACAATGAAATGCTAGTACTAGCTCTCTAATTAAGCTCATAATGCTCTTGGATTAAAAAATAATATTATATTGAGGAATATTATAAACTCTGAAAAGAAGATCACTAAGATGGCTGCTTCTTTTCTTGTTGGTATATTTATTCTTCACAGGCAAACCTAGGTTAGCTTCAATTACGTTAAGGACTAATTTATCTCTGTAACCTTGAACAGTACTGCTTAATTTAAATTAAATCTTATCCTTTCCTTTCAAGCTGAACTTAGTGAAATAAAGTCAGCAGGAAAAAGAAGACCTAAAGAGTAAGATCAAAGTGGTGATCCAGAGGAACTCTAGATGAGATGGGAAGCTATTGCAGTTTTGATAAGAAGAATGGTATGAGTTAACCTATTAACTATCATTCAGATGCTGTGTTTAGAGCTGGGATGTAAGTAGGACTTTAGCAAGGGAGAACACATAACTTAAGTGACACATAAAAATGTCATTTATCAAGATTATCACTGTATCACTATATCACTGTCTTCCCATTGAATGTCGAATTGCTCGAGCAGGCACCAGTGACATCTCTATTCCTCCCAGCCCTGAGATTTTAGCAGCCTCTTCTTACTCGTCTTTTCCCAACGATTGGAGGCTCTTTCAGGTCAGGGGAATGAGACCTATTGTCATTATTGTATTTGGCATATCAAATATACCACGGGGAGCTTGCCAGGCTCTGCCCATGGGGGCGGGATACTCTCGGTAGCTTGCTGGGATCTCCGAGAGGTATAAATTATAGGAAGTGTCATATAATGTCTGGAAAGCAGCCTGGAGCATGGTGGCGTTTGCAAAATGGAGTTCAGCTACTGAGGCTGGGTCACTTGGGGTGGGGAGGTCTCTCACCTGCCCCACAGCCTGGTGTGGAGTCCCATCAAGGTTATAGCAATGGAAATAAAGAGAAGAGCTTAGAGATTTTGACATCAACATCAACCAAACCAGCAAATGAATTAGAAATTATAAAGAAATTTCCAGACTCACACAGAGCTGGGAGCCTTCCCCTATCTCCCTGTTCTTCAGGAACCTGGCAGTCAAACCCAGAAACTGCCTCTGATGACATTTAAGCTCATTAATGGCCATGATCCAGACTCACAAATAAATCTTAGGAGAGAGCCACAAGCTGCAGAGATGCTTCCAGAATCCAAAGTCACGATCCATTTATTTAATTCCAGCTGTAGCACCGTGTTTAAAATTTTAGAATTCTTGGAGCGTGTGGCAATGAGATCTCATACTCTACACAACTGATATATCAAGAGCAGCATACCAGGTCTGGTGGGATGTAAACTATAAGGCAATTGATCTCAATCAAAAAGAAAAAAATGCACACAATTTCAACCTGTAATTTCATGTAATACATTTTTGTACAAGGGGCTTATTGGCTCCAGGGTGAGATACAACAATCTTCACACACTTTCCTCTAAGGAAACATTTTAAAATCACTTTTATCAGATGATTAATAACAAGCAATACAAAATAAATTTTTCAGGGGCAGGCTGTGGAGGTGGTGGGGATATTTGAAATAATGGTGGTGGGATAGTGTAATGGTGGTGGAATTGGTGTTATAATATTGAATCTAATAAATTATTGTGAACACTTTATTAAAATTAAAAAAAAACTTTTAAAAATAAAGTAAAATAGGGGGTTGGAGTGATAGCACAGAAGGTAGGGCATTTGCCTTGCACGCGGTCGACCCAGATTCAATTCCCAGCATCCCATATGGTCCTCCAAGTACTGCCAGGAGTAATTCTTGAATGCATGAGCCAGGAGTAACTCCTGTGTAATGCCATGTGCGACCCAAAAAGCAAATAAATAAATAAATTAGATTTTAAAAACTAAATAAATTGAAATAAAAGCAGAAGTAGCACTTAAAAAGAGAGTTGGTTATGATGAATGAGAGATTCTTTACAGCAATTTTCTCATATTTAAAGCACACACAAAATGCCGGTGAACTGTAATCTGTCTTCTTGGCACCTTTTGAAAGCCTTGGAATTGCTATGTTCCTTGTGAAAATGTAATTTCTATACTTATTCATTCCTTCTAAAATATCATGCATGTTCTTTTGGTATGTAAGAAACAGTACTTGTGGAAAAGGATGGTAGAGTGTTTTTTTCTTGATGTGATTTAAACAATAGCAGAATTCTCAAAAACATAAATAGAATTCAGACATAGCAACATCATTAAAATGAGGAACTAGAAGAATGGAACTGCTTTTTACTGAGATGAGTAAGATCCCTGGAACTTGGAATAAGGGTAGAGGAAAAATCAAATTAGACATTATATTTGAAATAAACTTATTTCCAATGAAATAAACTTCACTTAAAGTGAAGACAATAATTATAAAGCTAGGTATAAATGTGTTGATTCCAGGAAAAGTTTTATATTTTATAGTCTGTAGTACACATATCATAAAGAAATGTGAATATACAGGATCCTGTGGAGAAGCTGAAGCTTAAAATGACTTGTCTTGGTGGTGTAAAGATAGTAGAGTGAGTAGAGCACTTGCCTTGCATGAGGCCAACCTGGGTTTAATTTCCACCACCTATATAGTCACCAAAGCACCATTAGGAATGATTTCTGAGTACAGAGTCAGGAGTGACCCCTGATCATTGCCAAGTGTGACCCAAAAATAAATAAATCACAGTACTTGTCTACCTATAGACCAGTGGTATAAAGAAGACAAGACGAAAGTGTAGTGGTATATAAAAGAATAAGTAGAGTGAATTTCCAGACTCACAAATAAATCTCTCAGAAGAGAGCAACATGAGAGCAACACACCACAGAGATGTCTTCAGACCCCGCACCAGCTTTTTCATCCAGGGCTGCCGGGATTAGGGCAGGTGAGTCCTTCTACCCACACCAACAGAGTCCTAGCAGCCAAAAACCTCCAGATCCCAATCACCGTTAGCTCATGGCCAGTCTCCTGAGCCTCATCCATAAGTGAATCTTAGAAAAACTCAGGTATACGGGTTTTGTGACCTAAATCTCCAGGCTCACATGGAGTTGGGAAATGGTGACCTTCCCCCATCTTCCTGTTCTGTTAGCCTGGCAGTCATGCCCAAGAACTGCCTCTGGTGACACACAAGCTCATTAATGGCCATGATCCAGACTCACAAATAACTCTCTCAGAAGAGAGCAACGTTAGAGCAATATACCACATAGATGCCTCCAGACCCCAAAGTCACTATTCAGTTTTTAAAAATGAAATTAACCTTAGCTATATCACTATATTTAAAATTTTAGAATCCCTGGAGCACACAGCTGCAACATCTCATAGTCTACACCAGTGATGTACCAAGAATAACACACCACATTGAATGTGGTGTAGAGTAGAAAACAACCGATCTCAAACACACACATATATATATACACACACATATATACACACACACACGCATATACACACACACACACACACACACACACACACGTCTTAACCTCTAACAGCATTGATAATCTCTTATACAAGGACTTAATGATTCCAGGGTGAAATGCAACAATCTTCACACAATTTCCTCTTAAGAAAAAATTTTGAATCAATTTTAGTGGATTATTTATATCAAGCAACACAAAATAAATGACTTAGGTCCTGCTTTGAGGGCAGGATTTGGGGGTTGGGATGGAAAGATTTAAAATATGATGGTGGGAAGGTGTAATGGTGATGTGACTGGTGTTGCGATATTGGATGTAATAAATTATTGCGAACAACTTTATAAAAATAAAATTAAATAAAAAATAATCTGAGTGAATATAATGAGGCATTTATAGAATTTAACATGTTCAAAGAGTTAAAAGTGACATAAGGACTATAATAAGTGAGTTTGTGTGTTCATGTAAATTTTTGGAGTGGTGGCCTTTGAAAGCAATGTGGAAAAATAAAATGTATTTAATCACTTATATTAAGAATTTACTGAACTAGTTTCTCTGTGGAGTGCTGGACAAGCAACTCATAGTATAAAATAAAAACTTAGAGACAAATATTTCCAAAGGAATAAGCAAAACCAAATGATGTCAGGGTAACAATGTTTTATGTACATTTATTTACATTATTTTCATAATTGAGACTGCTGTTCAAAATTAGGAAGAGAGAAATGGGTTAGGAGGTTGAAGTAGAACACCAAGATTATGTGGTAATGGCTTGCAGAGGCAGGGATATTATTAAAGACAAAGAAACTATACTCAGTAGTGTCACATCATTATAAGGTAGAGGTAAAGGCCCTCCCGTTGATCATCGATTTGCTCGAGCGGGCCCAGTAACGTCTCCATTGGAGACTTTGTTGTTACTGTGACTGGCATATCGAATACTCTCGGTAGCTTGCCGGGCTCTCCGAGAGGGGCGGAGGAATCGAACTCGGGTCGGCCATGTTGGCCGCTTGTAAGGCGAACGCCCTACCCGCTGTGCTATCGCTCCAGGGCCAAAAAGTCATCCCCTAATGAGTGCAAAATTTTGCTCCATGATTTTGTGTTATTGTTCTGTTTTGCTGAAACCAGAGTTTGAAATTCTCTTTATAGTTCTATATACAATTTACTTAGTGAACATCTGGTTAGTGATATGTATATACATTAAAATTCTGGAGTGAAGAAATGTTTTAAATTATCTTCTTTGTTTTACAAAAAGGGGAAAAGTAATATAGAGTTTAAGTAAAACACTCAAGGTCATAGTTTTAAAAGTGAGCATAGCCAATATGTAAAATAAGCTGGCAGGTTTTCCGTTTCTATCAAAGATCCTCAGAATGTTTTATATACATTCTTCCTGTGAAGGAAACAATCAATGTAATATTTTAAATGAGGTTGCTCAGAACCAACCACAATCACTTGAAACACACACAGACTTTAAAATTTAAGTACAAATGAGAATACATTTTCTAAAATTAGATCTTTTACCCCCATGTTTTTATGCACTCTGGAGAAAATGCATTTATGACATTTTATTTCTGAAGTAAAAAAGCAAGCCTCAGGAAAAAATATATAAATTCAATTTCCATTCCAGAATATATTTTATAAATAATTTTAGCTTTTTAAAATTACTTTTAATAGACTGGCCTCAAATGAATTATTGAATATATGGAAAGCTTCTACTCTTTATTGAGCACTGAATGCATTATTTGATATCCCACAGCTCATGTTAATAAATAATTAATGGAAAAAAGATAACCACTTTAACTATTTCTTACCATAGCAAATTGACATTCGGGTAAATTAATGCTTATTTAATGATAACCATGAATGATAAAAGGAACACCTTATAATGTAAATACAACTAGTCTACATACATAACCGGTGAATTTATTAGTATCTTTTAAGGGTTACAATTTTGTTCTTCCAGTAAATACATAATGAAAGTGTCTAACATTTAAGATGTTTCACTTAG